GGCATAAAGTGTGATTTAGCCCAGACCATGGTACTGAACCCACAGTGTTGAATATTTCGGGAACGGGAGGGGGTGGGGTTTGGCATAAAGAGTAGGTATTATTGTATATTGTAAATTATTCCATCTAAACTGTCCATAGATTTGTTAGCTTACAGGAGTACAAAATGTCTGTTTACTTTTTTGAAGAACATTGAAAGGTAAAGGTAAGAGAATAACCTATAACTCGCAGTGACAATGTGCTGAATTGCATATGGCTGTTGTCCATGACTACTGTAGGAGATGTAGAGAGGCGCTTAGTTCCAACCATTGCACAACGACGGATTGAAACGAACCATAACTTTCCACAGACGTACTATGAAGTTATTAAGAGTGGAGGTGTGGCTTAATGATTGCAAATTTTGTCCTCTAATTCCAGGATTCTGTAGTCTTCATAATGAGTTTTTATACAGAGCATTATGATTATTTCAACCTTTAACTCTAAGTATGCAAGTCACAAACAATTTGAATGGGAATGTATATTAGGGAAAGCAATTTGAAATATATTATCGTCGGTGTTTCAATTACAATGGCTGATATTTAGCTATTAAAGAATATAATATTTGTGTACAGTACAGAACAGTAAATATGGTTTATATTGTATGACTGCAATAAACAAGAAATAAGAACCTGATGGTGTATTGAAATTATATTGAAAGACAAGTATTATTGAAATATAATTATGGATGTATTCTGATATTATTGCATGTGTTTTATTACTTTACATTCCAATACCTGGATCATATAAAACAAGCTTGCAATGAGCCTGGGAAAATAAATTATTTAAAGACAATTTTGACTAATGCTTGTCCTGCAATTCTATTTTATTTTCTTTTGTTTTTGTGTCTGCCGGCCTCTTGAGGGGGTAGTAGACACTTTCCTATCATCTCTATGTACGTGTGAAAGAATATTTGGTGTAAAATTAATTCCGGTTGGAGGAATGATTATCCCGGTGGATGGTTACCCATCCGGCCATCTTTACATCATATAGAAAGTCGTGAGGTTGTAGCGTCGAATACAAAATTATGATGCCATGCCTGCCCTAGAAAAACCAAAATAGTGTGTAATGGACCTTACCGGAGTATGAATGAAATTTAAAAACTAACCAGAACAGAGCCTGGAAATAAACGCGCGTTTGTCACAAATATTTACTTTATTGTCTTGGAATTTGCAGGACCTTAACTGTAAGTTTTAATTTTTAAAATTTTGCACTTGATATAATTTTACACACTAAGATATGCATCCTCGGTATTATGTATTCCATGAGTTCGATTCTGTGTCTAAAAAACAGCTCTCGTTACTCGGTAAAATATCAAGAAATTTTGTAACTCGTCCCATGTTTCTTTGATATATGATCGCACGAGTAGGCCTACAGCCACGGGGGCGTCAGAGTTTCCTGCAACAAATATCCAAATTAGTTGGGCCCAGGATCTCTGAAGAGAGGTTCAAAACGCCCTAATGCCTGTAATGATGCTTTTTCCTGACGATTTCTTTTGATGGGGGTACTTTCCCAACTTGGATCTCCCCGCTGGCACATCCAATGTACACAGCAGTAAACATTTACTACGGTATTTCGTAGTTATGACCTATAGTTGCTACGGAAATTTTGCCTAATTACGAACGAACGGAAAGAGACAAAAATACTACGGAAATCATATGCCTAGACCCATAAGTAAGGTTTTAAGTCCAGAAAAAATGACTAGGCCTATTCCATCAGGATCTTTGGTTACATTGTCTCTAAGACAACTCCTTGTCAGATCACTGATAAATTAGGCCTATTGTGAAAATTAAGAAAAAGTGGCCGATAAATCTTCATTCTGTCTGCAATTTTCGGCAACCCATCTTGCACTCAAGGCAAATTATTAGGTGCTACGGAAATGTTACAGTTACGGAAATGCATTTTACGAACTTCAGAAGTCTGATGTCAGAATTGTTTATTTTGATCAAATATCATTTAATCTCAAATTCATTTTATGTACATCGAAAATGCATACAGTACATTATAAAATTATCGAAACGTGTGCTACATTAGGCCTATCCAATTAGTTTATCTGTTGTTTATTTTAACCATTAAGGAAAATATATTACTGTACTGTATATAATTATCTCTCTTCATGTTTAAACACTAATTAAATATCAAAGGTACGTAATTCATATCACACTAATAACATATGATTAGGCCTACCATACGTATAGTATTTCGTTTTTAAAACATGAAACAAAAATATTAATCTAGATTCCAAGAAACTAACCTACAGTTCAAGACCGATATCAAAAGTATAGATTTTCTAAACAATTATAAGTTTGCCATTACTGTAGTTACACCAAAGTGTAGCCAGAATTGCAAGACTGCACACAAATTATTGCAAGGTACATTAGTGAAAGTTCAGAAGTTATGTGCATAATCTTTATTCAAACAGTTATGAATTCCATAATATTACAAATCAAAGCACATATTTATTCTTGTTGACACTCATTACAGTTGGCGGACAAATGTTGTTTAATTTTGTTTTTCATCAGCTAGTTTCTTCTTGTACTCCTTGTACTGCACGTCTGTACCGCAGATTTTGTCCCACCACGTAAATGTTGGCGCGTAGTTGCCATGGAAGTTCATGTGATGAAAGTCGTGGACTTCTGCTCCTATTTCAATGGGGTAAAATAATACATGAATTTACAGTGGGCTACAAATTGAAGATCACCCCATTAACGTTTTTCTATAAAACATTAGGTGTATAGAGACTAGGCCCTATAGATTCTACAACGCCCAACAGTACCATTAACATCGTCGCGTGCTTGCAGTGCAATATTAAATTTATAAGTTCACAAACCCCTTTGAAACAACGAATCAAACTGTTACATTATTCGAGGCTCATTACCGTAAACTTTATAGTACTGTAGGCCTACCTCCATAGAATGGCAGTAAATGGAGAGGATTCCATTTAAAATTGTAGCCACTGTGCACATCGATCGTTTCGAGCAGACGAACTGCAACCCACGTCCACAGTAAGATTAAATGAGTGCAGAACATCAGAGGCCCGATGAAAAAGCCAAACCCAAGAACTTGAAAGAAAAGAAAAACAATTACTGTTGAGAAAAAAAAACTATTTTAATTGGTTATATCACGAAAGAGGCCATAGTTAAATATCATCCAATATTCACATTGACCTACTTCTGTTTTTTATTGCTGAGCTCATCCTCTCTGATTGGATGCAGTGCGTATGGCACTACGTGATATGATTAATATGTGCGCGCGATACGTCATAGGCCTACATGAGAGAGCCTACTTATCTTGCAGATGTGGTAGATTAAACTTGAGTACTGAGTGGCGTAACGACGAGTCATGGGGTCCGGGGGCGAGAAAGTGTTGGGGCCCATGCATTTTGGTAGTCGATTACGAGGAGCCCCTTCACAATGGAATATCAAACAAGTGCTAGTTATTACTTAGTAGGAGAGCCCTCCGGCGGGGCCCTTTGGACTGAGGGTCCGGTGCTTCGCCCCCTTCATCTACAGAGAACCCATAGGCGTTTTTACTTACCCACAGTCTCGACAGGATGTACACACTCGGCGACCATACCAAATGGAGCCTGAAAAAGCATGGACTTGTATTTTCAAATAATTTACTTTTAATTGGCTTATCCAAGTTCAAAGTCTGCACCCGCCACATGGTGACACAATCGTTAAAACGGTCAGTTCTTAATACAAAAATATGTGGCCGATTTAGGCATTATAGTGATATCAAGATACGGGCCAACAATCTAAAACTCAAATGGCCAGTTTCAATGGTTTTTGTCTGTAGTTATATCGTGAATATAGTTCTTGTCGTTTTATTTAAATAATAGGGGCTGACCATTGACTTATGAAGATAAAGTGAATGGACAATAAAACCACGTCTTGAATTTCATTTCCCTTACACATAGTATTGCCCTACCTGAAAGTTGTGATGAACCTTGTGCACGTATTTATAAATCGACTTATGATGGAGCGCGCGATGGAGAAAATAGTGCCACGTGTCCTCCAGAATAAGACACGCATAAAGCTGGAGCAGGAGAGAATACCTAACAGAGAAGATATTAACAAAATGAACCTGACCTGAATGCCTGACCTTTAAGCAAAATTGTGACATGAAAAACTATATGCGTAGGCATCTTCAGTTATTCAGGATTGTCAGATACTATGCATACAATAAAACCCATTCTTTGGGACCCCTACTAAAAGGGGACACCGATGGCCGCGAATCATAGGCCATGTAGGCCTATAACTTTTAACTCTACGACAAACCTTTATTCAGGAAACACCCTTAATAGGGGTTCTATTGTAAATTTGTAACGCTATAAAAACAATAGTTTGTAGCCCAAGTGCAATTGCGGCTTGGTGGTTACCCAGCAAACACAAAACGTTATATAAATTTGTGATCGTTGCGGCTTATGTCAGAAAATAACGTTATACTGTACTACAACGAGAATGCAACGCCACGACACGCGCGCAACGAATCGTTTTATTATGGACGATCCGTTGTGACTGCCACCGACAAGCAGATGATAACGCGTCGTCAGCGCTCGAATGGAGCAGAGATGCATTCGTCGGCCGACGCAATGAGTGCCCAGTTTTAGTGTAGAGCATCTTGTGTAGCCTATAGGTTTGTCTTTTGAATTTAAAGTGAAAAACATCTTATAGCGTGACATCTGTTTACGTCCGTCTATCATATCAATATTGACATTATGTCTCTATCTGAACATGCCTACCATGTTGGCATTGACTCGTAATCGTAGCCGATGTTAAATATTTTGGTGTACAAATGAGTAGCGAATATCAGGGGCATTTGGATGACAAAGTGATTGAACATAAGCAACTTGAAACACTTCCACTGCGACTCAAATCCCTCGGGTTTCTGCAAGAAGAAAATGAATAACACCTGTGATTGTTACCGTAATGGTCACCAAATGGCAACAGCAATGTACGTTGTGAGAAAATTAAGTCCGCTAAGCCCCGCCCTTTGGGTAATGTTGCTAAGGCATTGGACCTCCCTTTACCAGGCCTTATTTGGGGTGATTTCAATAACAATAAAAAAAAAAAAAAGAAAGAAACAGCGTCGTAAATGTACTGTAGGCACAAGCGCGTATTCAATAACAGCAGGTTCATTGGCCAGTTTTTATAAGTTTTGACACTTAAGAAAGGTTCATGTTGTTCAAGAACGAAAAAAACATAAATAAGTAGGCCTATTTTATCATAAGCAAGTGACCTTAGTTTTTTATACTATAGGCTATTGCAATTTGCAGATATCGGTAATGCTTACCTTTTGTATCTTGTATTTCTGCATGTAAGGTATAAATTGAAATACGAAACCAGGAAGGCAAATTAGCAGGTACAACGTCTATTGAAAAATTAAAGAATCATGGTAAGTTGTGTCCCTTCCATCAACACCTTCCAATGCAAATTGACATTGTAAGATATCTTAATTTGCAAACACGAAACACGATATAAACATAGCACTAATCGACAAATAATATAATTCGAATTGTGATAGGCCTAATATTAATTTATTAGGAATGATGTTTTGCCCACCCGACGTGTACTTGAATGTTCATACGTTCCCCAAATACTTGTGAATAAAGAAATCTTGATAATGTTTTAAGGGTGGGAATCGAACCCTCGACCTCAAGAAACTAGCCTGGTTTTTAACCATTAGATCATGTTGAACCGATCCCCATAAGGCAGTGGGTACTGCAATAATGTTTTGATAGTGTTTGCTTCTCAAGAGATTTAATAGTGGTTTGCCCTACCTGACGTGTTAAGCAATCGTACTGAATGCTCAGTGTGTTCCCAAAAGTTGTGAAAAAAATCTCGTAAGTGATTCGGGCGAGTATTAATATTAGCCCTTTTTATTATTAACAATAGCCACTGCAATATTTGGCCTAATTGTTGAGGATAGTTCTTATGGTAATCTTTAATTAGGGATTTTCGGCAACAACATAGATCTAATTATTACGACTGATGCACCTGAGGTGGTAAAATTTGGGGAAATTTGTACCTCTATATTCATCATCGATCTAATCAATCTTATCTAAGAAAGTATAATACATACTCCAAGTATTGAAATACACGCCATCGTGTTGGGATTCAATATTTCGACATTAATTATGTCATCATCAGGAATGAAAAAATTATCCATATTAGCAAGCAGCACTAGTACCAGAAGTGTTTAACCAATCAAAACATTACCTCTAGTAGGTGACATAGCAGTGATTTAAACAAAAGATCAAAGCATTCTTACTCTAATGATCAAAGATACCTACAAAAACAAAGAAAGCTCTAAAACATATTGGAATGCCTCACAGTTTTTAACATTATCAAATATAACACTATCAGATCGTGAAGAATGTTCTTTAAGTCTAGTTATTTAGCATATATCTGTTCTGTTGTCTATCATTTTAAATGTCCAGACTGCAATAGTGATTATATTGGTAAGACAGATAGATGCTTAATAACTAGACTTAAAGAACATTCTTCACGATCTGATAGTGTTATATTTGATCATGTAAAAACTGTGAGGCATTCCAATATGTTTTAGGATTACAGGGTATACTTGAAAATGATAATGTCGTCTGTAATGTAAGTAATAAATTAGGTTTAATATTTTCTAGTACTAACATTATTGACAGCTCCCGAAACTGGTCTATCTTATTGTTTAAAGAAGCGTTCGCTATACGTAGACTACACCCTTTGCTTAACAATGGGCTCAGAGCTTCCGAAAAGATCTTTCTTTGTTTTTGTAGGTATCTTTGATCATTAGAGTAAGAATGCTTTGATCTTTTGTTTAAATCACTGCTATGTCACCTACTAGAGGTAATGTTTTGATTGGTTAAACACTTCTGGTACTAGTGCTTATAAGCTTGCTAATATGGATAATTTTTCATTCCTGATGATGACATAATTAGGTCTATCTAGTGATTTTATTTTATATTATACCTTTTATATTATTGACGTTCACGCTGTTGGGTAAAATGTAAGAAAAAATAAAATCATGATTAGTAAGTAATGTCCACTTTTTTTCAAAATAATGTCTGTATAGCTACTA